GCGACTCCATGTACCCGCACTTCTACACTACTTACCGCGGGAACTGGACGAAGGAAATGCGGCCAACTGGGTGCTCGAACCAACCAGTGCTTGGTACTACTCCCAGGTGAGGCGATTTATTTTTTTTATTTCTTGCGAGGGTTGCTTCGTAAGTTTTGGGACTTTTTAAAGAAGAAAAAAATAGATCCAACAGATCGAGTTTCAACGATTCCAAATTTTTTTTTTTTAGTCCGATAACACTTCAGTGCTGTTCAACGCAGTCTCCGCCGATTTCAATTCATTTTTGTTCATTCAAGTATTATTTATTTTATTTTTCTTGCTAGGGTTGGTTCGTAAGTTTTGAGACTTTTTGAAGAAGAAAAAAAAATAGATCCAACGGATCGATTTTCAACGATTCCAATTTTTTGTCTTCGTTTATTTGCATAGTCACATCATTTGGCAACACTTTAGTGCTGCTCAGCGCAGTCCTCCGCCGATTTCAATTCATTTAAATAAATCCAATGATCACAAGAGTGCCAAAAATTGATAATTGCTCATTCTTCATCCAAAAATTGATCATTCATCCCCGTCGTGAGCAGCCAGAAGTCACCGAATTTGTTTTTGTAAATAAATTTTTCCCAAACGTTTTTGTCATTGAATTAAAAAATCATTCAACAAAAATTCTCTGACTTTTGGCTGCTTGCGACGGTGAAAAATGATTTGAAAATGGGTTCATTTTGAGGACAGTGACGGCCTAAATTTCCGTCGTCAAAGAGCAGCTTGATCAACTGGCGCATTAATTGCCAATTTTTGGCACAGTTTTGGTTATTGGATTTATTGCAAGAAAAAAAAAGGATTCAAATCGTCGAAGACTGCGCTGAGCAGCTTTGAAGTGTTCCCAAATGTTGGGACTGTGTGAATAAACAAATAAAAAATTGGAATTGTTGAAAAAATTATTTTTAAAAACTTATGACCCAACCCTGGTATAGTATATATATGTTTTTTTTTTTTTGGTCCGACATAAATCCTAGCCCCGGGAAAAAGACCCTGCAATTTTCTTGGCGTCTAATGTCTGATACGGAAGGGGTCGAATCGAATATTTCTTCCTTCCTTCCTTCATTATGACCCAACCCTGGTATAGTATATATATGTTTTTTTTTTTTTTGTCCGACATAAATCCTAGCCCCGGGAAAAAGACCCTGCAATTTTCTTGGCGTCTAATGTCTGATACGGAAGGGGTCGAATCGAATATTTCTTCCTTCCTTCCTTCCTTATTTTTTATTGTTGTTGATTGGTAGCCGAAAAGTTGACCCAGTATCCGGGACGGTCGAGGACTTTTTTTTGATGCCAAGTGGAAATTTCCTAATGCAAAGAATCCGTGTCTCGAGCAGGTGGTTTTTATTTCCCTGGGCCCGACAATTTTAAGGTGTCACGGTCGGAAGCCGAAAAGATCCCAGCGAGTTCAATTTATTTATTTTATTTTATTTTTTGCTTTTCGGAGCTTGGATAATTCAGCAGGTGAATAAATCGAAGTATCCCGTTCCCTGAAAATAAATCTATGCTGATGTTGGAGCTTCACTTTTTTTTTTTTGGCACAAGGCGAAATTTATGTGGTAATTTCCTGGTTCCTTTGAGGTCCAGTTTGAAATATCGACTGGGAAATAAATAAAAATTATTTTTCAGGAACGCAAGTGTTGACCAAATCTTAAATTGGTTGAGTAGAAATAGTCTCATGCCTTTCGCGCTTCTTCGTGAGGGGTTTTTTTTTGCATACATTTTTGCAATATCCACGTGTATTCCGTCGATTTTAATAATGAAAACTAAGTAAATCGTCTCCTTGAGATTCTAAAATTCTGTCCGAATTCCTGCTCAAGAAGAGCAAGTACGGTAAAATTGTCGAGTTTTACTGCTTTTCTGGAACGCGTTCAGGAGAAAATGTCAAAAATATTTTCGAAGAATTGGCTGAGGAGTGAAGATTTTCTGCGTCAACGTAATCCCACTTCTAAGAAATTTTTCTTGGAAGTCCGGCTTGAAAAAAATAATCTGTCACGTTTTCTGAAATGGAAAACTGGTCTTTTAATTTTTTTTTTGTGGAAAAATACCCATGAGCTTATTTCTTCGGGAGGTAACCAAGAATTTTTTGAGTCAAAGAATTGGAAACAATTGAAAGCACAGAAGACTATGTTGACTCAGACATAATTGTATATAGTACTATATTATTATTTTTATTTAATTTCTCATTTTGAACCGTGATTCTGCTAAAAAAAATGCCCCTTTTCGAAAAAAAGTTTAGGCTTCAAATTTTCTATTTGTAGGTACTGTAGAATATTCTTTAAAATTCGAAAATATGCTTTTCAGCGATTAGTTCCTGTTCACAAGAATTCCAAAATTTCCACGAGAAAAGATTCGATTTGAAGTGTAATTCCTGCTTTATTTACTTGGGCCACGACTTCACAAATCCGCTGGAATGTTAATGAATCGCCTGAAACATCAAAACTGTGTCAGTTTTATCGTGAAAACGGCTGAACAAAAAAAACGTGTTCTAGTACGAAAGTATTTATCCTGACACTTCATTTCTTTTTTACAGGAATTGCAACGACAACACTTGCAAGTTTTTCCCAAGCGTTGCTGACAACGGGAACGTGACTTCTTCCCTGATGTACCTCCGGAATTTGCCCAACATCACCCATTTTTGCGACTCGAAAACCCACGTGAAACAAGCCCCTACGAAGCACAACGTTTTGTGCAATGGCAAAGACGTCGACTCCATCATCTCAGCCAATGACGATTTCAAAGAGTGAGTTTATTTGTTTTTTTAGCATTATCGAAACTGGAAACGAAAATCCCGGATTTCTTCTTGCAGTTTTTTTTCTTCTTCTCTATTTTTACATTGACCCAAATTTTGCTACGCAGAAATTGGCAGAAAATTCCCTCACATGTCTCCTCCTGAATAATTGAAAAACTCGATGGAAATCATATTTTGAACTCGATTTTCACCCGCAGAAGAGTTGCTTTAATAAATTCGGATCTGATTTACGAAGGATGAGAAATTTAAAGTCTGAAAGGATTAAATTCGTATTTTAAAAACATGCGTAAGACAATGTAAATTTTTTCCTCTGTGAAGTTTTTAGCTCTTTGCCCCGCATTTTTCGTCAGAAAAACCACTTCCACCCAAAAAATAATAATATTTGGACGATGGGCATTTTTTTCCCGTGTACAGTTTATTCGTTATGAAAGCCTCGTTACGTATTTTTCGAAACTTTATTTTCTGTAATTTGTGAAGTGACGGTGTTAATTACCAGCATCGAAGAAGCTTTTCGGGGTTTATAGCGATATATAGATACCTTTTTTTTTTTTTTATTCCGACACTTTTTGAAGGTCGTCAGTGGAACTTGTCCATTCCTGTTTTCCAGAAACACGCTTTTAAAAAGTTAACGAGCCTCTTTTCTTCCTTGTCGGTTTTTTTTTATCGTGATCTTGAAAAGAAGTCAAAACCCCGAGCTTAATTGCGGAAGAAGTAGATTAATTTCAAAGTGAACCAGAAAAAATAAAACGAAGCTTGATTCTCGTTTGATTCACGAACGAATCAGCTTGCCTTGAATTCGCGTGTAAAATAAGACAGTTCTTCGGATTTTGAAACACAAATGCACTGAAGCAGCAAGATGTCAGCAAATCTGTATTCAATTTTAAAATATCAAGATTCGGTGTGATTCAAAGGTAACTTTCGCTGACAAAGNCCTTGAATTCGCGTGTAAAATAAGACAGTTCTTCGGATTTTGAAACACAAATGCACTGAAGCAGCAAGATGTCAGCAAATCTGTATTCAATTTTAAAATATCAAGATTCGGTGTGATTCAAAGGTAACTTTCGCTGACAAAGTTCAAATTTTTGCAGTTTTGCCGAAGGATGGCTCGATTTTCATGAGATTTCGTTCGTTGAAAAATTTGTTTTTGAGAAAATTGAATTAAAAATGTTTAGCAGGTGCGTTTGAGCTTCAATTTTTTCCAAAGCAACCCACCAAAAAAAATTTCCTACGAGGGAACCCACGATTTTCTTGTTGCTTTCATTAACTGGGCCGCCTGGAAAAATTCCGGGTTCCAGGCGGGGAAAAAATCCCCCCACAAGTGTGACACAGGCTTTAATTCTTGGCTATAATGGGGTATTTTCTTCATGGTTTTACTTTTATGAGAAGAAACAATGTATGTATGTATGTACAGTATATTTATTTATTTATGTGGTATATTTTCCAGCGTTTTCGAAGTTGCTGCGCCAGTTGGAGACACGGAGTTTGAGATTCTTCGGGCATCGAGCCGCCGGGTGGTGTTCGCGTTGGATCGATCAAACGCAACGTCCGAGCAGGTGAGAGAGCCGCAATGATACGGAATTTTGATGAGGCTTTGTGGATACACAAGAATTCCATATATTTTTTTTTATTCCGAAGAAAAGAAAAAAAAAAAGAGTATTCTTTTCCTATCCCCTGTATATTTATATATTTATAATTTTTTTTCTAACCCTATCCACGGTTTGTTGACCAGCAGGCAGGCATTTGTTTTGCGTTCAAACGTACTGGAATTTATTCTGCCTTGGACTCACGAGAATTATTGTTTTGATTTAAATAAGTGTTGGAAAAATTTAAAGAAATTTGTTTCAATGTGGGCTTGAGGATATTTTGCATCTTTTCGCTGGTGACGGTTGTATTATTATATAGAATAGAGTTGTTGTTTTTTTTGCGAAGAAATCTAACGAATTTTCACAAATATACAAACAAATTTGTTTATTCCAAAGAAAAGAAAAAAAGTATTTCCCTATCCCCTGTATATATGTATTTATATAATTTTTTTCCTACTTCTATCCATGGTTTGTTGGCCAGCAGACAGGTATTTGTTTTGCGTGCAAATGTATCGTAATTTATTCTGCCTTGGACTCACGAGAATTATTGTTTTAAATAAGTGTTGGAAAAATTTAAAGAAATTTGTTTCGATGTGGGCTCGATATTTTGCATCTTTTTTCCCGGTGACGGTTCTTATATTAGATGGAATAGAGTGTCTTTTTCGCGGAGACATTTAAAGGATTGCTAGAAACATACAAACAAATTTGCTTTTTCCAAAGAAAAGGAAAAAATGATTTGCCTATCCCCTGATTATATATATATATAGTAATTTTTTTCCTCACCCCATCCATGGTTTGTTGGCCAGCAGACAGGCATTTGTTTTGCGTTCAAACATACAGTAATTTATTCTGCATTGGACTCACGAGACTTATTGCTTTCATTTGCCAAGGATTTAAACAAGTGTTGGAAAAATTTAAAGAAATTTGAATCAATGTGGGCTTGAGGATAGTTTGCATCTTTTCCTTGGTGACGGTTATATTATTAGGTGGAATAGAGTTGCTTTTTTTGCGGAGAAATTTAAAGGATCGTTAGAAATTCAGTATACAAACGAATTTGTTTTATTATGTGCGTTTGAGTTCGGTATCTTTTCCCTGGTAATTTTTAAAAGGAATTACTTTCAGTGAAGAGATTTGAAAAATTGTAAGAAATTTGTAAAGAAAACGGATGTATGTGGGTACATGTTGGAGTTAGGTATCTTTTTCTTGGTGACGGTTTTATTACTGGTTGGAATAGAGATGGATTTTGTACTTTTGGAATGATGAAGCTATGACATAATCTGTTCGTGAATCCTTGAGATTAGAGAGTTTTTGGTCAGATTTTCCTGCTAATTCAAGAAAGGTCTTATAAAAATTGACTCATTTATTCCATTACAAGCGAAAAAATTCCAGGGGTCTGGATTTAATAAATTAATATATTGGCGTTTGTTTGGCAATGAAATCTCGACTTATTCCTGTCCTTGAGAAAAATGGCGATGATTATTTGCAATTTTTCATTCCTATATCTTTCGTTTTTGTTTTGCAGAATGTGTGGTCAGCCCTGGGACCTCGATTGTACGCGCTTCTGCACGTGCTGAACAGAACTGAGCCGAACATGGAAATCGGTCTGGTGGAATTTGGCGGGGATAAGACTGAGACTG